CTTAAGGTCGATTAAAACTAAATTTAGTATGTTTGGAATCGGATTAATTTTTGATAACTGATTTGCATTTTAAATCACGAAAATATAAAAAGAAAGGTTCTCGCTAAGCTCGCGCCGCCTCACTTATAAATTCTCGAAAGTTACGCCATTAAAACCATACTTAAATTAAATTAAGATTTTCAATTTTCTTTTTTATTTTAATATTCTTTTACGGACAATTATATTCAGCCCTATGGTAGGTTTTTTCTCATACTACTCAACGATATTATATTTGGAAAACTAGCGGGAATGGAACCCGCAACTTCTTGTTTGACAGGCGTGTTCACTACTAAGTTACTTAAGAATTCGTGTAAAATAATTAGAGGTTGTTGCGGTATTCCGTCTTAGTCCTGAGAAATGATAATGTAGCCTTATTTGAATTTAGTTGTCAGCAGTAGTCACTTACTATCAGATAGTCTGTTAGCTCATTTGTCAATTTTTTTTATTCAATAACCTGATTAAGCCCACTGCTCGATACAGGCCTTTCCAAAAATTCGCTTGATGGACATTCATTACGAAGTTTGTGTAACCGTTGTATAGGTACGCTGAGCTGTACAGGCGGGTTGGCAAGCTTAGAGACATCGCACAGGTAATGCTGCTCCCATCACCAATGGAATTTGGTTCGGAGTACTAGGATGTTTTATCCGCTGTCAAACGGTCTCCAGAGCCGCCTTTGTCTAGAACGCACAAGATTGACCGAATACTGGAATATATGTAATGAATTTGGCATAAGTTTTATAACTTTATAATGGTTTAAAAAAAGGGATTCAAGGAATCATTAACGAATATTCTTTTTAATAGAATAAGGGTGACAAACAAGCGCACAGTCCTCCTGAGGATAAGTGGATACTGTGGGCAATAGGCATCTACATTTACCCTCGATTAAGATTCAAAATGCAAATGCATTGTCACCCTTGAGGACTGTCTCATCTCGTATTCAGTAATAATTTAAAATTAAAAATTTTCTACAGCCGACTTCAATATAAGTTATTAAGAATAACTCAATAACTATTAGTTTAACCTTGATCAAATTCATATGGGACCACACGAGAAGTAACAGCTTTCAAATAAAAAAAGAATCATTGAAATCGGTTCACCCAGTAAAAAGTTATGAGGTAACACACATAAAAAAACACAGTCGAATTGAGTACCGTCCCCTTTTTGGAAGTCGGCAGAAAAAGGGTCTCCGGCTCTCCGGTACACTCACCGTACGAAACACAGCAGCATTAAGCTGCTATTTTTCGCTGTTATTCTGTCAGAGCGTGGTCGCTCCCGGTCAAGTTGTTTACGTGGTAGAGCCATGCTGCTGCTATATTAATAGTATAGTTAAAGCACGAATGGGTCGGCTCGACCGGAGAAGGACCACACTCTCACAGAATACCAGTGTAAAATAGCAGCTTAACGCTGCTGTGTTTCGTATGGTGAGTGTAGAGAACCAGAGACCCTTTTTACTGGAAAAGAGGCATTCCATCTTAGTCCTCACGGGTGACAACGCATCTGCATTTTAATTCATATATATATATATACGACCTTTATTAGTTTACCTTTCTTCTTCTTCTTCTTCGTGTGCTTCATTACTGAAGGTCGTGCTTGTCCTGAAATTCTTTCACCGATGTGTCGACTAGCTTCCTCCATACCACTCTGTCCTCGGCTTGTCTCAAGGCAATCGGAATATTATGTCCCGTTATATTTTTAGTTTTTATTATATTTTATTATCCCGTTATAAGTATATTTAGTTTACCTTTACTTACCCAATATTTGTTTTAAAAATCAAAATATTATTTGAAAATATATTGTTGGTTGTTATTAGTGTGAAGGTTAAAGTTAAAATTAACCTTACATGTTCCACTTTACTATTAATGACGGCAGTTCCTACTCGCAACTTGACCATTAGTGTCTACATCAGATTGCCTAGTTTTGTGTTAGAAATGTGGTTTCGGTATTAGTGTTTATAATATTTTAGTGGTTTGTGATGTAGTTGTGCGGTACTTTGGTAGTATTTTACACACTGCCTTCATTAGTACTTATTACATACATATACCTATATGATTATTTTATATGTGACGTTGATCTCCATTAACTTATAAGCTTAAGTAGTAGAACAATGAAGTTGGGGTTTTTTATTTAATATCACAAATTTTATTGATTATGGAAGGTGTTTTAATACCATAAATTCGTAATGTAGTCGTAACTAAGAAAGTATCATAAAACCAAAACTTAACTACCTTTAGCGTATAGTCAAATCTAGCAACTTTACCAATGGAAGTTAACTTTGCCATCAGGGGTGTACTGGTACAAAATTACGATTAAGACGGAAAACGTATCGTTTTTCGAGATTGCCGTTTTTTGGATGAAAACACAATAACTAATTGATAGCATTGCTTTCGATATGGCATCATTTTCGAAGACACATCGAGAGTATTTTTGTTTCATATTTTAGATTTTCGCTTAAGAAATTATTGTGACAAGATTTTAATAAAAAAATTAAGTTAAGTACGTAATCAAGGATTTTTGACAACCCTGACAAATATTTTCATGTTTGTATGAAATATTGAAAAATGGGATGACAACTTTGCCACAAGAGTAAACTTTGCTATTTACAACACAATTAACGGAGCAAATCATAACTCTGAGTGTTGTGTATTATATCATAAGGTAAACTTACCTTCATACAGATGGTTCGAAAGATAATTTCGGAATCGGGGCTTCATTTTACGATATATTGCACGGTATGGCAATAAAGTTAAAAATCATTTTAACCGAATCAAGGAGTGCGCTTCAACACCTTGCTCGGTGTACTTCGGTTTTCCGAGGCTTACCAGTAGCATATGCGATTTTACAGCTTCTAGTTAAGTTACAGGCTGATTCCAGAATAGTATATTTACAGTGGATACCTTCGCATATTGGCTTAGAGGGTAATGAGAAAGGTGATATCTTAGCCAAGCAAGCTATCTCTGATGGCATTGACATTGATATTACCCCTTCATTTCAAAATTACATACCTTTATTGAAAAAATATTGCTATGATCTCTGGAAAGAATATTTTGACGAAAGATCAAAAGAAAAGGGTATATGGTACCGTACGATCCAGCCGCGCCCAATGCAGTCAACCTGGATAGATAACAGACTCTTGTGTAGACGCGACACTGTAACAGCATTAAGACTCAGATCTGGACACATTCCATGCAATAAATTTTTATACTTGATGCGAAAAATGACCTCACCAAATTGTTCAATTTGTAATATTATCGATGTTGTTTATCACATTTTGATAGAATGTGCCCAGAACTCAAGAGAATTGTAATGTACATTTGTCCTTAATGGTAGTAGTAATAGTATTTTATCGGACCCGTTATCAAATGATGCCAAAAAAAGTAACTAGTAAACATAATAAGTTTATTTGTTAGTAATTATATTTAAGATTTTTTTGTAACTACGAGGGCGGCATAATCGCATCAGCGACAAAGCCCTTTATATATGAATTTAAAAAAAAAACTTGAAAGCTTTGAAGCTTGAAAAAACCATGAAGTTAAATCCTATTACTTTCATTATAAGCCCTGATGGCAAAGTTGCCACAAAGTGATGTTAACTTTGCCATTTTCTATTTTTGAGTATTTTGTAATTTTTAATGTTAGTATTTCTTTGAAACACTACTAAATATCAAATCTATAATGAATGTACTGTAAGACTGGGCGTCAATGTCACATTTAACATTGACGCCCAGTCTGACAGTACCTACATTTTTTGTTGAAAATTGGTCCTAAACTTTTAAGTCCTTCCAAAAATGGCAAAGTTGCTAGGTTTCACGGTACGTTAGTATTTTCATGTTAAAACAAGTCTTATTCGAAAGTAATCAATAGCAATTTTTTAACATCGCATTTTTGCAAATCTAGTGAAAGTTTCCAATCGATGGTCACACTACCTACGTACGTACTTGAGCTGTATAATAACTTCAGATTACGAATCGCAATATACATATTCCTTGTAAAGCTTTAAGGTAACTGCAGTCAGAAACAAAATAAAATGCAAATTTATGTAGAAATTTTTTTTTGGTAATGAAGTAAAGTTTGTAATTACGAACTCTTACTAGTTACGCTACCAAGAGTGGAAATATTTGCACAATTATTGCTAATATTATTTTATACTAAAGTAAATGTTGTTTATCAAGCAGGCATCTATATTTATGACATTAAGGGCGGACTATTCAATAAAAGTTATTCTTAGATTAAAATATAACGTAAAAAATTAAAAATTACAGTTGTATGAAGAAATTAGTTTAACTGTTTAGCTTTTATATTCAGTCAGGTTATAATTTATTTAAAGGATAAGTTTTATCTGACGATTCAAAATTCAGCCCTAAAATGTATATATATTAATGATATTTCCATTTTATACTTTAAATATAATGATTTACTCAACATTTTTGTATTTATTGTTGTTTAATATAATAAGTAGATATGACGCAACTGTTTTATATCGATTTAATTCTAACATTGCTTTTAATTTTAAAGTATCTAGCAAATACTGGGGGTCGAGTAATCAATTTAAAATCGGGAATTGTTGTAGTTGCAACCAATTAAGGAGCAACTCTCAAAGTACCATTTTTGGTATGAGTCCAACAACGAGATGTAAGCGCTTACGTGTTGCGAAGGTCTTGTGGGCGATGTGATACGCGACAAGGTGTAAGGGGGGCCGCGGCTCCGTCTCCGAGCTGCATCGACACGACACGCTGCCACAGACTCCGCGAAACAGTCGCGAACGGTGCGCGCGCGCACGACCCACGACACGAACGACTCTCGCGACGGTTTACATTACATGGCAAAGCGTTCATTTATTTTTATTATGTGATAAAATAATTCTAATTTTAAATATTTAATCGTTGTGTTTTTAAGAATCTCTTCTATACTAAGTTAAGTTCGTTTATATAATTCCTTATAACTACGCGAAACAGTGAAAACAAAATGACTATAACGAATAAAAAGACTAAACAATCAAAAGCGTCCGAGGTAACCTCCTCGAGCAGTGCATCGACCAGTGTTCAGAAGAGTAGTACATCCATGGTGCAAAAGAGCAGTAACGCACTTCAAAAGGTGAGCTCATCAGGGAAAAAGGTCCGCTATATCGAGGTTAAGGTCGAGGAGGAAGAACCGCTGATGATTACTGATGTAACTGATCATGCTTCTATAACCGGCTCCACAATATCTGAGCATTATAATAGCCACCCGCACTATATTGTAACGGAAGCACCATCGGTGACTGATCTGTCTCAAATAAGATCGTATGAACATAACGTAAGTGATATGGCAAAATCTACAACCGGAGAGTTCGTTTCTAGTTCTGTACTTCAAGAGTCGTCATCAGTGCAGCAACAAAGCTCTAAAAGTGAAACTTTTCAGTCATCTTCAACCTCAGTTCAACATTCTAATTCAAAACAAAGTCATACATTTGATAGAACAGTGGATTCTTCCGTTGAGAATCAGACACTTAACACTGCTTTTATAGATAGTATTGCACACAATACAACAGGATCAAATACATTTGACCGAAGACCTCAGGGTGCGAATAGTACTGATGCTTTTCTTCAATCGGAACGCGAAAATATAACCAATACCCAATCAACACATCAGTCAACCACATCTCGGCGAAATATTGAAAATAATTTTGCGAAAATAACTGATAAGAAATTTGATAACCAACGCGAGAAAGACCGCTATCAGCAATCGTCTGATCCTTCGACAAGAAATCAGACAGTAAAATTAAACACATCAAATTTTTACGGAGGAGAAGGCTCGCTCGAGGACAATATAAAATCCAGGGAATATAGTACAACAAGCAGATCAAGTGAAAATAAAAGTAGTAATGCGACAAAATCGACATCTTCATCATATGTGGTTGAAATTGTGGACGGAAAAGAACGTATAATTGATAACTCGAAAAGGGAGTGGGGTGACGCAAAGGAACATTCATCTAAAGAATCCTACGCGAGTGTAAGTGGAACTGACATTAAACCTGAATCTGTCTACAGTGAGCAAAACTACGACATGAAGTCAAAATATGACACGGGAAAAGATGGCGGACGTCCGATAAATGAAATAAAGATAAAGGAAGACTCACAATTAGTTAAGGACGGGAAAAAAATCACTTCGCACGAGAGCTATATTTCACATAAAGATAATCTACATCAACTTGGATCAACTGAGCAACGCGTATTATCTCAAAATAATGAGCTAAATACCAGTGTTTCATCTGAGCTAATCAACAAAACTCAAAGCAATACAAACACTAATAAAAGTAATCAAACAATAAATCAAACTTCGAATTTGCAAAGGCGGAATCAAAATACCAGAACTGATTCATCTGACTTTTATGGTTATGATTCTACAATTCAAAATGAACTTAAAAAAGTTGGGGACATTTTGCAAGTACATGATGCGGATAACATAAACTTTTCTACCAAAATATTAAAGAGTAACACTAGCAGTGCCCAACAAGAATCAACATCATCTTACATTTTGGAAGTTGTTGATGGGAAGCAGAGAATAGTGGATAGCAAACACAGGGAATGGGGTGATACTAAAGAACATTCTACACATGAAAAGAGTCATTACGTTAGTGGGCCCAATATAAAACCTGAACACGAATATACACGACACGTGTTAGACAAAGAATCTTTCTATGATACTGGTAAAGATGGTATTCCCAAAAGTGCAACCCATGTCGCAGAGGAATCTGCTTTGTATAAAGATGGTAAAGAAATTGCCTCTACAAGAAATGTACACACTGGTGATTTTACAAAAAAGCCCGCCATTACAGAGCACTTTACAGAAAGAGATGAGGATTATACCACGAACATTAAAGACACGACTGATAAATCAGTGTACTCCGATACTCATGGAATCACTTCTACAAACGGTAAAAATGATGTACGTGATGTTAAGAACACAACCAAAACAACGGAATTTATAACAAAAGAACAACAAAATATAGTCAAAGAAAGCACATCAAAATCAACTTCTGAAACTAAAGACACCTTGACGTCTTACGAAAGAAGTACAGGAACATGGAATGGAAAATTTGTTTATGAGAACGATGATGATAGACCAAAACGACCTAAAGAAATGTCACCATTTGGTAGACCTGAGCAGCCGCGATACCACTTAAAACGACAAGACACTGAAGACAATATAATATTAACATCAAAAGATATAAAAGATTTTACTTCTATAAGTGATTTGCGAAAAATAATTGAAACGTCAGCCTCCAATAAAGATGTTACTGTAAGCAATAGGAATATTGTTATCAGAAGAAATATTGACGATAGAGTATTAAAAGACATAATTGAAACTGTTAAAAAGTACCCTTTTAAAAGAATTGACAAAGTAACCTTTGGAACAAAAATTAAGGAGGATGTAAAAGATCTTTATGAAGGTGTAGACACCGAACAAGTTACTGTTTTGAAAAGTAGCAACTCTGATATAATCAAAAAGTCGTTTGAAGTTGATAAAACTAGAAGCCAAGTGGAGGTGACGCGCTATATTACTGAAAACGGGATTACTAGAAAAATAACTACATATGAAGATGCAAAAGAAGATGAAAAAATTAAAACCGATGTGTTCGTCGACAACAGTGCGTTAGACATCAAAAACTTGGTAAGTTTGTTTTTACTTTGTGCTATTTTTATACAAAATATTTGTTATAATTTTATAGTATGTAACAGTTTTAATATAATTTTAGAAGGATGTCCATACCACACGAGATACACGCGAATATGACGTCGTAGATCATGCAATCACCGACACCACAAGAAAGGACACCGTCGTCAGCACTGTTTACGACGAAACCATCATCGATGACAGGAAAACAGTGCGTGATGACAGGACCACAGTCGAAGAGACTATCTACATTGACGAAAGGCGGCCAAGACCCGCTGGTCCCAAAAGGCCGGAGAAAACTGTTGTTAAGGAGCAGTGTGTTTGTGAAATTTGTACTTGTGGGTAAGTAGCTTAGTTTTTATTTCATTAAGTTCACAACGACTTTTTAAGTTAATATTATTTAGATGTTTGGTCATTTGAATTACAGAATTTGTTCATACAATAGTTAAGTAATTACCGGTAACTAACGGCCACGGTTACCCGTCATGAGTTAATAGAGCTCCATTGTGCTGTGACCGCAGCGCAGGTCGTTCCTAGAAGTTAAATATTGATAAGTGTTTAATACTGTATCGTAAGAGTTTGATATTTATATTAAACACACAGTTATATGTTCTGAAATGTTATGAATGTTCAGGTGGGTGTTGTAAGTGGCGACACAGGGAAACAAACCAGAGATTGCCAGTAGCGTCTTTAGAATAACAACTGAAAAATAAAAACTGTGGTTGCCCACCCGCCAAAAGCTGCAATTATGGCAAGTATCCCCCCTATGAGTCAATCTATGGGGAGGCATATGTTCAGCAGTGGACTTTTGATAGCCTGTAACAGTATGTTCTTAAAGACATCGCCAAAAAATAATATTTAAAAAATATCTCAATACTTTGAGTGACTGCTATTTTAAGTAAAAGTTTCACTTTACTCTCTTTCAAAAGTTTGATCACATAATCGATATTTATAAACGTGATAATACAAACTGTTAAACAAAGAAGTTGAGGCAGGATTAACTTATCAAAACGCAGATAAGTGTCTTTTTCTTTTTACGAAAGATAAAATGTTGAAGGAGTGGTTTCCGAGTTCTGATTACAATATTTAATCCGATAAAATTTGGATGATACGAGTAATATAACAACCAAATTATATCTATTGTTCACAAAATCTAATTCAACCAACGGATTTCACACTTAACATGTTTTTTTAAATTCTTTTTTAAATGAAATAGACCTTCTTTCGAATATTGTAAACTCCAATTTGTAGTTTATTTTGTATTAAGAAAAAATAAATTCCCATTTCATATACCATATTAACTAAGTGCATATACTAGTGCCTACCACTAACACCTAAGGGCGTAGACTATGTCACCTCAGAGACGACGATTTCTGGGATAACTAAAATTGTAAATTGAAATAAATAAAAAAATGGTTCGGCCGTAGGATACAAACTTGGTATACATATTTAAATGCATCAAAAAAAACGTCAGTATGTCTGAGTGATTCTTAGCTTATGACATTTAAGCTTCATTGTCCTCAATTTAACAATAATCTCGATATCCTAGCGTTGGCGTCGCATAAGTGATGAGATTAGGGATGGCTTTAAACGTTTTTGATTAGGTGACAGTGCAAGGGTAATGAACACATGCGCGTTGGCTTTGTCTACTATGGTCACAGTATTTTACAATGATGCCTTATGGAATAATCGAATAATAAATGCCAACTTTTAACATATTGTTTGACAACAAAACACATATTGTGTCAAACAATAAAAATGTTAAAAGTAGACGAAGTACACTGCCAAGTTCATGACTATGTTAGTAGTCGCTGTTAGAGAGTAGTTATTAAAAGAAGTATAGAGTAGTTATTTAAAGATGTCTTTAATTTTAGCTGTAAGATCATACCATGTGTGTAAAAAATGTATACCCTGTGTTTAGCTTACTGCAGCTTAGTTAAGAAATGTATTAGTCATTTCGATTGACTAACTTTCAATTGTTTTTGAAACATGCTAGAATATACTGAAGTAATATGCGTCGGAGTTTTTAAAATACTGAGTAGGCACACAATATGCACAGTTTAGTATCATTCTCAGCCATTGGCTGTTCTTAACTGTTAATAAATACAATTCTAGTGCCTATCACTAATACCTAAATGCGTAGGCTATAGCTTAATGTTTAATATGAGTCATGTTTAGTCAGCTTTGGTTGATTTGAATCCTTATGCGCGCTATGTGGGAGTTTAACGAACTGAAAGTGCTATTAGTATCGGCCTCAATACCGAACCCGTTTAGATAGTCTGACATTTTAAAACCAAATAGTGTTCGTCTCAAAGCAGCTGTGATAACTATGGTATTTCTTTTAAACTTTGTAGTACAAATGATAAAACTTTAAATATGTTTGTTTAGTGATACGAACAGTTTAAAAAATATACTAAGAAATAAGTTTGTTGATAAAATTTTAAGTCGCGTCGTTAAGACCTTATCGGCAAAATATTTTAACTACCAAATGGCTCAGCGATCAAAGCATCTAGCCAATGATTTGGGAGTCTCAGTCAAATCGAAAAACATAAATAGTTGGTTCCTCTGATCTGCATAATTTTTAAAATTTTCCGTGTGTTCAAAGTTACACCTTAAACTTATCTTGACTAAAAAGAAGAGAAAGTTTATTTGCAAGTATCCGCATGTAAAAATAAAATGGTGTGTATTATGAAGTGCATCATACTTCCCACAATCACTAACACTATCTACTAATAATCCTTGTGGGGATTACTATATTAGTGTATTAGGCATCATGACGTGACGATGCTTCGTAAACTGTCGCCACGCGATCATAGGGACATCAAGTTATTAAATAAAACATTTGAAAAACTGGGCTTGGCCAAACGAATCTCGTCAAAAGATGTTTCAAAAACTGGGCTTATAGTTACCTCTACCATTTCTTCATGCATGTTTGTATGGAAGCATTAAACATTTACCTATTTAAAACGGCAGATGATTTAAATAAAGTAATCGGCGCAAATCACATTAGGTATATTTACACATAGTTAGTCACTCATTACGTAGAATGGGTTTATGTCCCCGGGGCCGCTCGAGCAAAATTCCGCCCCTCTCCACTCTCTCATTTTCGAATATATGTTAAAAATATAAAAAAGTATGTAATGATTCAATCAATGTATATTATTTGGAAATGAATAAAACAATCTACTAATATATTTTTATACCCTTGGCAAGTGTATGTGTGCAATTTAAGTTAAAGGCGGGGAGGAGCTGACTTCACAATGCCGCCTCCTAAAGTCTGCCTCCCGGGGCCATACTCTCCCTTCCTCGCCCTGCATTCTAGAATATAATAAAATTTGTTTATCTATTTGTACAAGCTACTAAATTATCTATTATATATTATTAAAATTAAGTATAGTAGATAATATATAGATTATTCAAAAATAAGCGAATAGCTGAAAAAAATCTAAAGCATTTAGGATCTTATTAACCAAAATTATCATTTTTTGCATGTTGTGCCTAATGAAGAATTCTATATAATTCTATTATTTTGTAGAAAACTTTTTTCATATACCTGATTTTATGCAAATAAATACATACTTAATAATATTATTAGGTTCTTTACACTACAGATTTTTTTTTTTTCAAATTATTGGTAAAAATAAAAAAAATTATTTCAATAAGAATTATTTATAATCTATATTTAATGGAAATTGATTCTATTCTATTCTATTTTAGTGATCACCTCGTTCTTAGGGGTATATCTTCATCCATGTATTCCTTAAAAATACCTCTTCATTGAAGTTTTGAGCTTGGCGATAAACAACACCGCTCTATAGATGAATAACTGACTCTGTTTACTCATCGGTGACGGTTACATATGGGTTACTTACAGCCTAGGTAAAATGCAGTGCGATTGTGTGATTGTTTAGTGTGTACTCCCGATGGGGATCGTGATAGGTTTCGTTTTGACGTCTGATTTTTGGTTTCTTTGTATAGTGTAAAGGTAATTAGTAATTACAAGCGGGTGTTATTTTTATATTAGTAGTTTATTTTAGATTAGGTATGAAACATTATCATATTGAAATAATATAACGAAGTTTCGTAGTGATTCACATAGGAAATCAATTCGCACCAGAGTTTCACATTTGCACTGCTGTTATACTTCAACATTCAAATAGAAGCGAGGTGTATTTCCGTGTGATGTCATGCGATCACCTTAGTTTTTTTTTAATCCTGGCTACACAACTAATGCTTCTTTTTTTAAATTGAGTGTTAAATGTAACTTTAATGATACATTTAGATATATATTTCATACATACATTTCAAATTATTTAAAAAAATGTATTTCATTTAGCATATACTTCAAACTTCTGATATATGTATACGTACGAATACCTTAAAAATCTTTCTCTCTACACACAATTTAGTATCTGGCTACAAGTCTAAAATCCCATACGGCTTATGTCTTACAGTATACTAGGGGCACATGAGTAAAGGGGTGTAAATGAATTTTCATACACTATACGTAATTACATAGGTATTGCAAATAATGTATCATGCGAATTAAAGTAAAAAAAAAATTATATTATATGTTTAATATTTACATAAATGCAGTCTCAATTTATATAAATGCATAAATAATGATGACGTTGTCTTCGTACAAAGCAGCAACTTCAAGATCATATAAATGATTTAAGGTCGGAAGCTAGTAACTGCGGTTTTTTTATAGTGCTTGGTAGTACTCAAACACAAACACGGAAGTACCTACTCATCTCTTCCTATTCGTATCCAATGTGTTTATGCACACATTTTAATGTAAAAAAAATGTCCCCGAGATATTTTATTTCTCTCATGCTGGTTTCCTCACGATGTTTTCCTTCACCGCCGAGCACGTGGTAAATGAGCGCTTAAAATTGCAATTAACAATTTTATTGGCGCCGGCGGGGATTGAATCCGGGTTGTTCGCGTACTGTGTAATTTACAGCGAGCGCTTAACCCCTGAGCTGATATTTAATGTAGGAATATTAAATTACAATTGTGCACAAACACAAATTGTTACAGTTACATTGTATAGAACGTTATCGGCAGTTTCTCTACGCCTATTTTAATCCAAATAAAATAAAATATACATAAGTCATAATATATAAGTGTGAAGCGACAAGCGACAGGTGCTAAAACCATAACAGGTAGTTATTTGGTACTTGTAATTTTACCTATACGAAGATTAGTTTGGGTAATTCGCGTAGGATTTATATACATAAATACTATCAAGGTCATTAAATTTGTCCCTTTCACATTCTCTTATTTGCCAGTATCCCCGAACAGGTTTGTTATCGTAATTTATTCGTGTGAAGGAACGC